AATGTGGGGTGAATTGTCCGCTCAGGCTGAGACCCTGAAGGCACCTTCAGGGAAGACAGACTGGGGACAGTGGGCAAGAGCACTTCATTATGTGGCGCAGCATCTTGCCTTCCATCTCCTCTGCCTGATGCATTTCAAGGGTTAAAAAGAGAAATAAAAGGAGGAGCCTTCCCTCCAGGAGAAGAGTGTCTCATACAGGAAATCTGGAAGGACAATTGTCCTGATTATGAGTGATATTTTCATTCATTTTAAGATTCAAAAGCCAACAAGCCTGGGAACGTTTTCTGGAATGCTTCTCACACACAAGTTCCATAGCACTTTCTGAGGCTTGACTCTCCTTTTGTTGGCCTCATCTGCAAAATTTCGGCAAGACACCAAATGGCATCCAGCAGTAGGTGTTCAAATGACCTGGTATTGCTAATTATCCCAAGGCATGAGTCATACCTGCACAACCATTAACTGGGCCTTGAAGTCATGACATTTGACTGCATAAACACTGCAGATGACTGACATTCTCTTGAACTTGCTTCCTGTTTTCTGAGACATTAGGACAGCGTTCTTTCACACTTTCAAGGTTGTCCCCACAAGGGCTGCAACGTGATCCTGAAATCCAGCACATCGGTGCTTATGCATTTATGATTGAGTGCACTTCAACTGCTTGCTGGTGCAAAATCACAGAGGAGGATGTCAGACTGGCGGAAAAGCAACCTGCACCTTGGCCGCAAAGGAAGGGAAAGGATTAAACCACAACAATAACAAAACTCGAAAAGGGGAGGGCGGAAAACATCCTTGCTGGCACAAGCCCAGCAGGGCATTGGAGGGGTGGTTCATCTGCCTTCGGCTCTCCTCGCGAGCAGCGATTCCTTCCACACCCTTTTATTCTCGTTTTTTCCATTCTTATTTTTGGTACTGCTACTCCACATCTCCCACCTGTATGTAATTTTTATTAGGGGCTTACACTGTTATACACTTACATTTCCTGGTACAAAAGTGAACATGTATGGGAACTACCAATTTTGGCTCCCAAGGTCACAACCTCATCACCCTCACACCGCACCCTCAGAGCATGTAGGCTCCTGAACTTGGAGACTTCCACGCATCCTGTGCCCCAATTATAAAGCTTGCTGACAAGGATCACCCACCGTGTGCCCTGTTATCTAGCCGCAAGTGGAAAGATGTTTTACTGGAGTCCAAACCCAATATCATCCATGCTATTGCATTCCTGACCGCAAGTGAAGAAAGCTAACAGGAAGAAAATAAATGCACTCAGAACATGGAGCCGGAGAGCAGCTTTGCCAATACACTGGACCAACAGAGGAAAAACTGGGTCCTGGATCAAATCAAGCCAGATCTTTCCCTGGAAGCAAAAATGACAACACTTGTAGTTGTCATACTTTGGGCGCATCATGAGGATGCAAGGCTCTATAGAGAACAGAATAATTTAAATTTGAAGGTAGAAGACCGAGTATGTGATGGATCGATTCCTTAAAACATGGGTCCTCAAACTAAGGCCCGGGGGCCAGATCCGGCCCGCTATGCCCATTTATCCGGCCCGCCATGCCCATTTGGACCTGCCACGCCTATGCGCACACCCGCTGCTGCGCAGAGAGGCAGCAGTTTGCTCGCTCAGAGAAAACGATCTCCAAACGAGCAAGCTGCTGCCTCGTGTGCCTGCCTCCCCTCCCCTCCCCGCGGGCTCCCGTCCGCCCCTCGCCTCGCCTTGCCATGTGCCCCGCCCCCACCTCAGTGCCTGCACCTGCCCGCACACACTGGCCCCGCCCCCTCACTGGCCCGCATGCACCGCCAGCACCACTTTCCGGCCCATGGCTAGCACCAGCACCTTTCAACTGGCCCCCTGCTGAAAAAGTTTGAGGACCCCTGCCTTAAAAGAAGTCACAGCCTTGAGCTTAGAAAAGCAGAGCAGGGCTTTCATTCATGGGGTTGCGTTAAGTCAGAGAAGACTCGGACACATAATGGATAAAGCACCAGGGAGGGAAGGAGTCTAAATCCTTGGCTACAGCATCCTCCCTTCCCTGCCCCAGCACATTTCCTATCTCGGGGAAGCAGCCAGCGTGGTTCTTTCCACACTGGCTGTGGAAGAGGCAGAGTGGAAGTTCAGCTTTTGAAGTCCCAGCTGGGAGGCCAAATTATTTAACACTATTTAGCACAAATAGCCCTGTGCTCCCCGCCTCCCCCCCCCACCCACACACACACAACATGAAGTGAGAGCATTTCACCCTAAGTGGCCATTTCAGTTTCCCATCCAAGAAATGTTTTTGCAAAAGTGAAGAATAACATGTTTTTGTAGCATTTAGTTGAGTTGAGTTATAGTCAAGATCACGAAAACTCTCTACCCACGAGGTTTATATATACCAGGTTTTCTTTTCAAACAGGATTCATGGGTTTTGCCCACATGACCCTTCAGTTGGTACTCTCAGAATGGTCCATAAAAGTTCTGCTAAAAGCATAAGTAAAGGTAGGGATTTAAAAAGGATGGCGCACGGCTGTTATTTCTAGTAAGAATCACAGAATTGTAACCCATTTCCTCCACTTGTGTTAAACGCAGACCCTTTACTTGTGCTTTTAGCACAACTTCTGGGGAGTTTTTTGAGTGTCTTAACTTAAGGATAATATGAGTGAAGCAACTCTTCCAGGTTGCAAACCTTAACTCTTCACTATGTCCCCTGTGAACGATTGCAACTCTGTGCCTTCTTCCATTGCAAGAACCTCCATTAAACTTAGTCAGTGTTTCTGCTAACTAAGCACATGTAGGATCAGCTACGAGACACATGAAGCGTATGTTTAGCAAAGGCTCTCTCCTGGGCTGCAATGCAACATCGTTCAATTGGTAAAGTAAATCATTTCACAATGAACCCTCATCATTTTGAAAATGCCTTGCTAAAGGTGAAGTTTTAGTCTCCTCTAGGAACTCCTTAAAAAGGGGGGGGGAGGCGAGAGAGAGAGAGAGAGAGAGAGAGAGAGAGAGAGAGAGAGAGAGAGAGAGAGAGAGAGAGAGAGCGAGCGCGCGCCCATCCTGTCCTGTATAAGTCTTTGGTTCATGTAGTTCCTTATTATAGTACAATCCTATGCATTTTAGACAGAAGAAAATTCTATGACCTCATGCTGTCCAGGGACTGCTCCGGATGGTAGGACTTTTTTCTTTCCAAAAATGCATAGGATTGCATCCTCAGTTTTTCACAGTTCAGGCTGAAAGTATGAAATGCCAGAATCAGAAGTATTTGCTCAAGTCTGTGACCTGCAGATTGGTCAAGGTTAGCATGCATAAGACACAAAACAAAATTATACCTAAATCTGCAATCCTGTATACACTTTTGGAGAGTAAACATCTTTGATACATGTAAGGTTGCCTTCCAAGGAAAAATGCACAGGATCCAGCAGTAAATGCAGAAGTAACAGATTGTTTAAAACAATTAAGAAGGTGACAGTTGCACACGAGTCATGTCTGTCCTCCTTTACCTCTGGTCACCCCACACAGAAAACAACCAGAGCACTTCTGTCTTTTTCATCACTGTGACCAGCCACACTTATAGCCATCACTATTAAATTGCATCAGCACTGTCAGTTTGGGAATGCTGTTTGAGAAGGGAGGCTGCACCTGCTCCTTGACTGAACACGCATAACTTTTCAACTCCCCTCCCGGGATGGACACTTACAGAATTTTCAAACAATTCTTTAAAATCACAGTTGCAGAAACTCAGTCCCAGGGTGACATCTGGCCCTCCGGAAATCTCAGTGCCTGGGCTCAGCAACACAAAACTCACATCCAGGGGTTGTTTGTGAGTTGTTGAACCATGGATTTCTGTTGCAAATAGGGATTGTCTGAAACTATTTGCGATAATAAACCATAGTGAACATCCCATAGTTCACAATCGAACAACAAGCCATGGATTCTCTTCAATGGGTTGTTTGTAGTGAACAAGCCATGTCTGGTTAGTGCAGCTGGGTTCGGACATGAGAAGCCAGGCTCTAGAAGTACTGAACTGGGGATCTGGGTCCTAGTCTGCACTCAGCCATGAAACCCACTGGATGACTTTGGGCCAGACAGACACTCAGCCTAACCTACCTCACAGGGTTGTGATAAGGATACACTGGAGTGGAAGAGGACTATGTAAGAGGATTATGTAAGCCTATGGAAAAGGACTGCGAAAGCCACCTGGGGTTCCTCGCAACAGGATAAAGGGCCAGCTATGCATACCATATAACACATGGTTCAACAAGAACCAATACTCAAGTGGGTTATCATGTTATCTGAACACAATCTTTGTTCTTCTGAGGTTCTCCTCAGGTGGTCACACCTCCTTCCCCTGCCCTCAGACCACTAATGAGCTGGTTTTACTGCCTTGAATGCCGTTTTTCTCTTGTTTTCAAGGGTGAAATGCCTCTCTTAAAGCTTAATTATGTAATTTCTAAGGAGTATGCTGGCATTTTGTGGCCCTGCTAAGAACTCAAATGTAGTCCCTGAGAACTTCTCCAGAATCAAACTAAGCTCTTGGGCTAAAAGAGGATCCACATTTTAAACCAGGTATTAGATGGGGTTTTAGAAAGGATGAAGAACTAAGCAAGAATTTAAGTCCTGTGGTGACCAAGGGGAAGCTCTTTTGGGCCCACCGGGCCTTTCTGTTTCCTGCAGCCAAGCTGGCATTCTTCACACCCTCCCGCCCATGAGCACTAGGGATTCGTGTTGTTCTGATAGCCAAAGGCACTTGCACAGACAGTTGACAACTTTGAGGCTTGGCCTCCATTTTATTGAAAAGAGAAAGGCATTAATGAAAAAAGGGGTGCCGGAAGGATCATAGACCTGCATGTTTCCACAGGGGAGACAAAATGGCTCTGGAACCAGCACACACCCTACACCAGCCTTCCTCAAGCTGATGCTCCCCAGTTGCTTTTGGTGTTCAGCTTCCCACAGTCCTGCCAACATGGCCAAAGCCCGAGAATGCTGCAAGTTGTTGTCCAAAACATCTGGCAGGCACCAGGCTGGGAAAGGCTACTGTATGCCCTGACCCCAGACACTCCCTGGGAACTTAGGTGGGCAGGGTGCAGTGTCTTTCAACCATCCCAGAAAGGAAGGTTATTTAAACAGTACAATTGTCTGTCTAGCAGGTGCTTTCCTGGCATTCCCAGATCTACCCCTGGTAACAAAACGGTTACATTCCAAGACACAACTCCTTCCATTACAGAAATAACTGGCTATATGAGAGGCAAAGAAGGCAGTCGATTGTTTGCCCCTGCCTGTTGCCCATCAAGCAGATTATCAGTCCCATGGCAACCACCCTCCCAGAGACCTATACATTTGTCTGTACAGTCTGCCAGCCCACACCTTGGCATCAAGGCTGGGCCACTCTCAAAGTGATCTTTTCTTAGCCCAAGGCAATCCCAGGGCGCAGTGCAAGGGAAGAGGGAGAGGAAGGCGCTCACAAACATTCCAGAAGGGCCAGCACCGTCTATGTGGGGCTCAGTGGATTCTGTTCCTCTTTGCCTTTGAACCTATTGATCACCAACAGAAGGTGTTGCTCGTCACCCAGCACACGGATGCTTGCTGTGTCATGTGTTCTCCTGGGCCAGTCCCTCAGGACAGGGAGTCTGGTTCTGGGGCTTCAGGAGATGCAGGACAGGCTGTGGTTGGGAAGTGGCGTTATGCTGAGGGTCTGAGGTGCCTGATCCTGCTGGTGCATGGTGTAAATGCTTCCTGTACTGCACAAACATGCAGACCTTGAGGACAATGGCCAGCACATTCTTCCCCATGAAAATGCCTGAGACACGGATGTCCCTGAAGAACACCATGTTGCTGCCCCTGATGAAGATGGTGGTGATGTTGATGGTGAGCATGCTCAGCATCGGGTACAGCATCATGCGGTGTGGCATGATGCTGATCCCTTGCATGCTGATTTCACACAGCGAGACGCAAGGGAGGACCAAGAGCAAGATGTAGCAGTAGAAGAACATTAGGCCTTCCACCCAGATGGGAAGCCCTTTCTTCTGGGGCTCCCAGAGGTTGGCCTGGATGTCCAACACGTCCAGCATGTCAACAATAACCCAGAAGAGTCGGTTGCGGAGGTCCTCCTTCTTCTTGAACGTCCTGACGTATTCCATGTGTTCTGTGGCCACCAGCAGCACATAGAGGGCTGGGATGCAGATGGACAGGAGGAGGGTCAACGCTTTGCGGGCCATCAGATCCAAGCTTTTGCGGTCAGCCTTGTAGTTCTGATAGATGAAGTAGACTTTGATCTCTAGAACGAAGACGTACAGGAACCAAAGGATCATGGCATAGCCTCTCTTGGCAGTTCTCACCTCGGCTCCGACCCAAACCGCCACATACCTGAGCACCACCAGGAAGCAGAGGTCCCCGACGGAGACCATAATGCAAATGCCCAATTTTCTGGAGCCCTGGTTCTGTTCCACCAGGTAGGCGTCCATAAGTACCATGCTGCTCATGATGAGTGTGGTAGATAGGCAGACATGGGGCTTGTTAATGGGTGGGGGAGGAACCATCCTGAAACAAGGAACACAGAGTCACACATATACAGATTAGCCAGGAAGGTTGGATATTATACTGCATATTCTACAGCTCTCAGTGGGGAAATACACCTTCTGTATCAATGCACTGAATAGTCCAGAGATGCAGAACTGCAGAGCTGAAAGTGGTCCTCCTGAGGTTCTAACCGGTCCCCGCCACCAGGACTTCCCAGAAGGCCGTGCCTCTTCCCCTGGCCCCCTGGCCCCACCCACTTCTGCCAACCATCAGCTGCTTATAGCGGCAGTGAACAGTTTCCCCCCCATTCTAAAGGGTTGAAATGCCCCTCATAAGGCTAGCTATGGGCTTTAAGGGCACGAAGATGAAACATGCTGGCATTCTGGCCATGCCCCTTTGCCTCTGGCATTGCCCACAGCTGGAATGTAGCCCCAATGAGCTTCCCCAGAATAGAATTTGGCCTGTGGGCTGAAAGAGGTTCAACATTAAATAATCAATTGCACAGTGGAAATGTATCTCCTGTTTGTTTCAAGGAGCACCATGGAATGGATGCTACATTCTGTCACTGAGAGCTGAGCATGGATGTTTTTGTTCAAGCTGTTCTAAATGTGCATTCCAGGCAGAAATCTGTAAAATGGAGATAATATATCTGTGTTTTGAGCACTGAGAAGCAAATATATATGAGCTATAGGGCTGGATCTGGAGGAAGAGGCTCCCACTATAGTGGTGACTTACACCAGAAGAAGATCAAGGAGGAAGCAGTCTCTACAAATTCCTGCTCCTGCAGCCCCCCTGCACTGCCAGCCCCCACATTGTTCCAAAGGGTTTTCCAGCATTCTGGAGCAGTTTCAGAAGTGCAGGGTGGGTGGAGCAGAAGGAACCAAAATGTCCTTCTCTTCCTCTTCTGCGTGCTTGAGGCTCCTGTGAGTGAAACTCCACTGAGGAGTCTCTTCCATCAACAGAGTAATGGCTGGGGGAGTCCATCAGTTATTTTCTGCTGAGGAGAAAGCCTGAAATGGATAGAAGCCCAGGCAGGCAGGCAGGCAGGCAGGCAGGCAGGCAGGCAGGCAGGCAGGCAGACAGACTTGCTAGGACTGAGACTATATTTTGAATTAGTAAACGCCACCAGCAGATTTCTAAATTTTTGTATAAACAGCTGTCTCAGGTAGCCACAAAACAGCACAGGTACAAGCTGGGGGAACCCCATCAGCCAGGCTCAGCCCAATTTATTTTTCAGCTGGAGGGAAGCCACCATGGCTGCTGCTACCATTTTTCTTTCCTGGCTGTGGAAGGCTACCTGAAGGCTTGGAAGACCCATCCAAAATCTCATGAGCCTTCGGACAAACTCCCCACAGCTGGGGGAAAAAGGTGGCATCCAAGGGAGCACAAATGGAAGTGGTGGAAGGGCTTCTGCTGCCATTTCCAGGAACCTCTCCCCGGAACAAATGCTTCACCTTCCTTGTGGAAGGGCCAGCCCTGCCAAAAGCTCATGGAGATCTTCCAGCATCACCTTCTGCACACTGTGTTTCATCTTGTCATCCACTGTAAAATCCACATGTGCATGTGCGCACATTCACGCACACCCCCCCCCCTCAGCTTCATCCCAGCAAGATGGTCCAAAAATATATCACGGTCACTGATATGGAAAGCTGCTGAGATATTCCAAACAGGAATACAATCCATCCTGTCTACATCCTAACACGGACTGGCCGACCAGAATGGCCCGAGCTGTTTTGATTCCATCAGTGGGTCTGACCCAGATAGGAAGATATCAAGATGATCCACATAACTGAGAGATCTCTGAAGTTCAGTCACTAGCATGTGCTGAAGCACGTTGCCTAAAAATGGCATATTTTGAAGTAGCCAAAATTACCCGATACAATGGGATCCAAAATTATGTTTACTATAGCATGAAGCTACTAAGTGCCCCTTTCTCCCCCTTCCCGTCACCCTTTTCCTCTGCTTGTTAAGCGTACTTCCCCAGTCTGGGACCCTCCAGTTGTGCTGGACTGCATCTCCCAGAATTCCTAGCGAGCAGCCTAACAAAATTGGAGAGTACCAGGTTGGGAAAGATCAGCATCAACTTCTTCATGCCCTGCTTCAGGCTGACTCGGCAGCTTAATCAGCCAGGAAGAAGCCTCCCCAAATCCTGCCTCTGTCCTCAGGTTGAACACTGACCCATTGCAAAGGCCCGGAAGATGGGTTGCTTTGTGCAAGAAATCCTTCACTCTGTGAGGCGCTGAAAAGCAGGACCTGAGCCTGCTGGGCTGAAGGGTTGCTCTTGAAGCTTTCTGCGCTCCATGCTCCTGGCTCACCCGTGTTGACTAATTATTATGGGGAGGGCTGAACAGTTGAGGTTGGTTGAGGGGGCTGTCAAGGTGATCTTTAAAATGCCAAGATGCACATGCTCCCGCTGCATTGAGAGACCCTCGTGCCAGAGAGGCATCAGAAGAAAAAAGGAAAGACTCAGGCTGCATCCTAATGGGGAAATTTGAGAATCTGCTGCAATTATTGTTAAAATTAGGTTGTTTAGGAATGGATTCAGAAAGAAGGAGGCCAAGTGACACAGCCTGTGGGCACTCATTCAGCCCCTGCCGTGATGGTTTATTGTTGTGTTTTTAATCAATTTGTTTTTATGTTATGTTTTAATTAAGTTTTTTCCCCCTAATCTGTATTTTATTGTTAGTCACTTTGAGTGCCACTTATTGGCAAGAAGGATATAAATGAAATAATTAACTCAATAAATAAATCCTCGTTCTCTTCTTGGAAGGCTGCCAGCAACTGGCTCCTGCAGGGCTACCCCCCCCCCCCATGGTGTACTCTGCAGGGCAACTTGTGGCCCTCCAGATGGTTTAGCCTGCAACTCCCATCATCCCCACGCTCTTGGCTTGAAGGGACACTGAAGACATGTTAGTTTTACAAACGGCCTGCTCCCAGGGACTACAAGAACCAGCTGGTGGCTTTGGAGGGACCTGGCAGCAAGGCTTGTTCAACACGTCTGGAAGGCACAGCGGTGGGGACTGCCATGACCATGTGCCACGGCACCCGTTGTCTCCCCACCACAGAAAGGAAGGGTGTCCCCAGGATCCACTGCTGCATGGTGCAGGGAGCCTAGCAGGCGGGCTGTGGAGGCTGGCGGCCACACCAAGCATGGAAGCCACGAGCTTTTCATGCACACCCGTGTGCCAGTCACAGAGAGTCCGTTTTCTACATAAAAAATGGGTGTACGGGAACCTCCCCCCCCCGCCTTGTCTCACTGCACTCTGTTGGCTTAAGTGGAACATCTTCCCAGTCCAGCCCTTTGAAAGCAAGTGCAGCGGTTCACATCACCCCCCCATGCAGTCTTGTCATGTGGACCCTGCCCAGCTGTTGGGCCTGGTGCGGCCCTCAGCTGCTCCTTTTGGTTCCTGGACAGCACTGCATTCCAAGCAAGATCACTGCAGCCCATTCCCGTGAGCCTTTTCCCAGCACCTGGGTTCTAGCCCAGGTGGTCTGCACTTCCATCTGCCAGTTCTGCAAGGACCACAAGCACTTGTAGCCCTGGGATTTCCATCATGCTGCCTGTGGGCACCAATGTACCTCGGAAGACCTATTTTGAAACCCACCAGGCTCCCTGCCACTCCCGAGTTCAATTTCTTAAATTACTTCATTTTTATTTAGCTGGCCTGCTGCAAAGTTCTGCCCTCCACTGACATCTTTATTTGGATTCAAAGGAGTAGTTTTGTGTTTTGGAGTTCAGATCCCATGCTGGCTTGTACTCAAGTTTTTGGACAAGTTACTTTTAAAAAAGTCTCACCAGCTTTCCTTCTGGGAAATGGGTGACCAGCCTATTGTGACTAGTTTATTGCTTTTATAAAGGAGCCCCCAAGCAGCCATTTTGTGAGAGCATCCATGACACTTTTTCAAAGTGCCCACTGTTCTGAAAAAGTGTAAGCCCCTGCAATAGGCTCTAAGAGATCAGAATGCCATAGAATTAGGTTTCTATAGTTCATACAAAGGGCCACTGTAATTAATGGAATTCATACACCTTATGAAGGTATAAATATTCCATTTATATTTATTAATCAATGAAAGATCTTACCTACTTCAGACCTCTGAATATAAATACAAATCCACCCAAAGGATTGTGCCTTAGAAAAGCAGTTCCTAAATATTTTAAATTACACCAGACTACTTGGCACATAGAGGCAAATTTAGGGTTGTCTTGTGAACTTTTTCTCAAAAGCCCAAATTTCAAAAGGAAATACAGATATGTGAACAAATTCATTATTTCTAGAATGGTTTATGAGTGATTGAAGCATTGTGCCTGAATTATCTCAAGTGATGATGGACAAACCACTCATTATCCTGAGATGACGGAATGGCAGTCTGCATGCGAACAGATGACAGCTTGCCTGGAACCACCTCAGGAGACCATGGCAGACGTAAAATTTGAACTCGGTCTCAGGCAGTGTCTGTACCCCATTCATTTGGAAGTGAGCTCCATGGAATGCTGTGGAATCTACTGAGCACACATGCACAGGACAAGGGTGTTAGTTGTGGCATTAAGACAGCCTCACAACTTTTCCTTATGAGGGCCAGTAAGTGGGAGAACGAGGGAGTGCTGTACTTGAGAAGACAGACTAATAGCATTCACAACTGCCAATGTGAGATGCTGCATGTACCAGCAAAGGCAAGCAAAAAAGCCACAAAAGAAACTATTGCGATTACAGATGAGGCCAGAAAATTGCTCAGCAAACAAACAGAGCCAGGATCAATGCTACTAACAAATCCGGCCCTGGAGAAAAATCCCAAATGAGACACAGACAGCAGAGCTCTGGAGAGATTCAAACAGCGAAGCATCTTTGGGTTGCTTGAAACATCATGTTTTTTGTGCTGTAGCACTTCTGTGCAAGGAAGAGAAATATGCAAACTTGTGCGCACACATTGTGGGTGTTCCTTTCCCTTTTGTCATGTTTAATCTTCCCTGCAGCTCGTGTAAGTCCAATTGCCAGGAACCTTAAGCAGGAGCAATATTGGTATGGGTTGTGCTGTGCACAGAATTTATGCTTCTTCCATGTGTAACTGGTTTTTAAGAGCAATGCAATAAGTAGCACCACAACATTAAGTAGCAAGCAATAAAACAGCTGTCACAGACCCAAGGCCTGAGCTAATTGAGCCAATAAGTTCCTGGACCAAGCCTCAGCCCTGGGCTGACAGTAACACAGGTGTAAAGGAAACAGCTTTTACTCTGGCACTAATCTTAGCTGTCTCCACTCTACTCAAATATTTACCCAGGCACAATCAGCTGGTTAACACAAAAGAGCAGCTAAACAGAGGCTGTATCTACGCAGCAATTTCTTATTAATCCACAGCAGGCAGTGTCATTCTGCGCTTACTCTCCACTCTGCAAAAGATTATTATATAAGTAGTGCACAACCAAGTGTGGCTAGGCCAGAGATTATGAATTCCCTAGGCAAAATCTTAGAATGTTCTTGAAAGTAAGTTTATTTGGGGAAAAACAAGGCTGATAAGAAAATAAACAAAACACAAAAAGGTGTTATCATTAATACACTCTGTTAGCTTATCTACTGAAGGCTGCCAAGGCAGGAAAAGGCAGCTAGAAGTTATGAAATGCTAGCTTCAGCTAACACATGTGATGCCTAGAGAGTGAAGTTTCATCTTTATCTTTGCCAAGGGCTGCTTTCTTCTGATGCGCTATTTTAGAAGTGACAACAAAGCACATCTGAAAGTAACCCACAATACAAGTAGCAAGAATTACATTTTGCTTTTCTTCTTTGTTTCCGGTTTCTCTCCTTGCTGTTGTTGTTCTAATAAGAAAAACAGCTTCCCCAAATTGACAGAGAAACAATCCCATGGACCCATGTGATTTAGAGCCAAGAGAATCTTTTCAAACAATGGTTGTGTCAAAGACACAGACTGAGTTTTACAAAATCCAATCCAATTAGAGCAATCCGTCCTGCTACATTAGAACTACCTGGGCAGTTACCAGACAAGATGGTGCATCTATATCAAGAAAAGAGTCTTAAGGAAAATCCTATACATGTTTAGACAGTATGTCTCAACCAGATGGCTCAGGCATACTCTTACAAGCCCCTTTTCTGCCTAAACATGAATACGACTGTACCCTTAAAGAACATTTATATGCTGTACACCATGCACTCTGGGCGTAAGGAAAGTTAAGCAATATCGAAACAGACATCCAAGATGGTCATCATCTGGGCAATGCTGTACCAATCAGGAATATGTTTACATATAATACATTGTTACTGTCTATCATAGGCACATTTTTCCCATACTTTTAAGATTAAGAAAGTGTGGGATGTGCCCTTGTATCCCAAGCAGCATTGCTTCTTAGTGGATGGCAATACAGAACTCACTTAACAATCACCCCTCTCAAACTGTCCACAGAACTTGTCAATAGTAGGTCTAAAAGGGCTTCATGTCAGCTCTGATTTTCAATGGGCAGTGAATTTAGTTCTCTCTTTTAGTTTATTAAAGAGACATCACTCCCACTTAATGGATATATGTGGCCAGTGAGTGAAAGATTTTATTACGGACATTAAAAAGGTAAGAGAGCCACATGCTGCTTTTAATAAGTAAAATTTTCTTAATTTTAGATTTGGGTCTTTTTTGCATTTGCACCTGACCTTTTAGTCCCCCCAAAACCCTCTACTCCAAGGCCTCCTTGAGAGTTAATCCATTTTACTGTGCAGTTTGCTCTGGGAAAGTTAGAATCAACCACCTTTACTGGCAAAGTTGTTTTTCTTAATGAGCACATCTGCAGAGCAGTTCCAAATTGCTGCACAGAAATTAACTGAAGTGCCAGTCTGGATGTTACACTCACCATGGGGATCAGGATGCCCGCGACAAATTTCCCTTCCTCCCTGGGCAGTGATAGCCCTACAGCAGCCCAAGCGGCAACTCCGAATAGGTTCTAATTGACAATATGCCCAGGCCAGCAGAAATTCAGTGGTGGGGATGTGGATCCCCATGGAGAATCTAACATCTAGACCAGTTCTCCGGAAAGAGGCATTTGCAGTGCATACTCTGATTCAGTGAACCCACCCTTTCTTCGTTTGTCCTACTAAACCAGAGGAGGAAAACTATTGTTAGGCGGGGGCCAGATTGCCCACCATGGACTGGTAGATGTCAGGGCTACATGGTCCTGCCCCTGACCCCCCCCCCCCCCTGCTTTTCTTTTTCCCTCTCCAGGCTGAGAAAGGCACAGCATTCCAAGCCTTCCCCCTGCATGGAGAAAAGAAGTCATATGGAGGCAGCCACTCCTCCCAATGCCGGCTCAGTCTCAGGTTTTGTGCAGTGCTACATAAAAACTGGGACCCAGCCCACACGATGGGCTGGGTCCTGTTACCATATTATCTCCATTCTGCAACTCTGTGCTAATCCAGCATCTGAAATCTGCTGTTATGGTTTCTCTTTCTTGCCTCAGGGAATAGAGAGACACTTTCTCTTTGGGGAAACATCCAGATGATTACAGCATGGCAGGAATCCCATTTGGGTTGGGTCCCCATAGCCTACTTAGCAGAATGGCTTATTCTGCAGTCCCAGGAGAGACACCTCCACTCCTGGAAGTGAAAGGATATGGCAAGACACATCACCAGTAAGTAAGCAAGCGAGATCTCCATCAGCCTTCCCCAAAGTGACATCCTCCAGCTCTGTTGACTACAGCTCCCTTTCCCCCATGCTGTGGGCACATCTGCCCAGCAGGTGCTCTGCTACTGAGCTATAACTCCTGGAAGGCACCAGACTGGTGGATGCTAAACTACATAATGCACACCAGTTTGGAAAGGAGATTCCCCCAGCAGTTGACTCCTTTCAGATGCGAGTTATCTGTCCTCATGATTTAGCCATGTTTACACCTACTTGCAAGCTTCAGCTGTCTCTCCTGTTATAATTAGCTTCCCTCTCTCTTTCAAATACACCCAACAGAAGATGACCAACTGGAAAGGTTGTTGCCTGGCCTGCAACATGGGAATGTCATCACATTCAAGGCAAAGTCCACCCTCCCATCTTCCTGGAAGCCCCTTCCCACTTCTCTCTGTTCACAGTCAACCAAAAGGACTTCCTCCATCATGGTGTTTGATCTGATCTGGACAAAAGTAGATTTAATAACTGATACAAACGCATTTTAGTCAGGTGTTTTTATTCTTTTGTAGTTCACTGCTCTGCAGTTTGTTTAGATGTGGAGCAGCCCCAATGCTACATTCCAAAAACTGGCCAGGAACTTTCATATCTTCCCAGTTAACCCACTGTATTCCCTTTCACCAGCTGGTGGCAGGACCCACCTGCTAGCTGTCCCCTACCTGCTGGAGCTCAGTGAACCTTGGTTAGATGCTGACCTGCCACCCCCTGCTGAACTTGGGTCAGCTTCTGGCATTCAGTCAGCCATTGTGAAAGAGAGCGGAAAAGCACCCGGTGCTCAGCTTGGAACGTGGCAGCAAGGCAGGGAGACCCATTCATTTGCCCAGCTCAATGCTCTCTGGCAGAAGAGGAAGCCAGAATGGATGGGCTTGCCATAAGATTGTAGGAATTGGGGGGGGGGGGGGGGGGGGGGGTAGGGTGCTGAATTCCTCTATGAAGAGCTCCAAAGCAGTCTCACAATAGGAGAAAGGTGCAAGAACAGGATGTTCATAGCAGCCTTCCCAACCCGGTGCCTTCCAGAAGTGTTTGGACTACAGCTCCCAACATACCCATCCAGCACTGGTTTCCCTTCACAGCCTACTAAACACATGTGTGAGAAAGAAAGCAAGGAAGCTTCAGCTGCTCGCCTTCGTTGTGCCAGTAAGGTCAAACTACATGTGATGTGCGAGTCTCACAACTGGTGTATTTTTATGTTGCAAACCCCAGATCAGATCAAGGCCATCACAGAGACGGAAAGGAGCTCTAACCTGCTGCCCCCACCCTATGGCCCCAATCCAAATTGCCTGATCCCTCCCATGGTTGCTTTCTGTAAAATAAAAATCATGGAATTGCTTCCATCGCATCTACTTTGACCCTGAACATGAGAGTGAATGTTCAGCATTTCGTAAATGAGCATACAGTCGTAAACGCTGACAATCCCAGCTGAACTGGGTGAAATCCTGGGGGAGGAAGATTTCCCTCCTTTGGGGATCTGCATAAGTGAATGCGGAAAACCACATTTCAGTGCCTGTCAACACTGACCGGAACATCACTGACTTTTCGACCACTCACAAAATCCGCCTGGGGCTGCTAGGCTTTCACAAGCAAACGCCGAAGATTCAGACGTTCCCGTAACCTCGCCATACCCCCTGAGCCCATACCCGCAGTATCGGGCCATTCGTCAGTCAGTGTGCCTTGGCGGAGCTTTTGGGCACTTTCCAAAGAAATCCAGCAGCTTCTCCCTCTTCCCTTCTCCCTCTTTTAAACATCCCATTTAATAAAGAATTCTTGGTAGAACAACGATTATTTATGTCTTTACCTAGAGCCGGACTTGGAAGTCGCGGGACTTTTCTCCGGTTGCGAGCTGAACGGGGCTGGTTCCGGGCAGAGAGGAGGAAGGGAGGATGCCTCCAGATGCCGATCCGGTCCGTTTAATCGGCTGGCGGAGAAGGAGGGCGAGAGCGGGCGCCCGAGCAGAGCGAGGCAGCCCTCTGGAGCCAATGAACGCTCAGCAAGTTTCGCGCGTGGATTCCGGGCTCGCACTCCAGCAAAGCGACCCCAGCCGCCGCCGCCGCCGCCGGGCCAAGGGCCACCCTCATGGCGGGTGCTCCGCGGGCTGCCCCCGCCGCGGGACCGGCGGCGGAGCGGGGATCGCCGCGGCTCCCTCTCTGGACGCGTGGCTCGCCCCCGAGGCGGCGCGCCTCCCCCCGCCGCTCCGGGTCGCCTTCCTTCCCCCGGTGACGGGCTGCGGGCGGGGGGGCGGTCAGCGAAGCCCGGGAATCCGCGGAGCACCCTGCGCTGCGCGGCTTGCCCGGAGCCCCTCGCCGCCGCCGCCGCCGCCGCCTCCGCCTCGTCCAGACCGCTCCCTCACTGCCGCTGCCGGCATCGGCAGCCCGCCTTGGCCCGGAGCCCTGCAGGCCCGCAGCCCGACCACGGCATCCCCCGCCGCGAGGCGACCCGGCGGCAACCGGCCTCCCTGCCCACTGCGAGCGAAGGTCAGCAGCGATTTTTGCGGGCGACCCCGCCGGCAGCTCCTGCCGTGTGTGCCTTTGAAGTGCCGCCGCCGCCTCCCGCGGGGAGAGCGGTTGCTTTGCACACCGTTGGCCGCAAGGTTGGGGCGGGCAGGCGGCCGGGAACGGGGTTCAAAAGCAAACACGCGCTCGTGCACGCGCGCGCACACTCCGCCGCCGCCTCCAGGGGCTCTCGAGCCACCGCCGGACTTTGCGCGGCTTTGCCGCTCCCCCCGCCGCTGCCTCCGCGCCTTTCGCGCCTCGGCGCTCCAGCGGCCAAAGAGAAAGGCAGGCAGTCCAGGCAAAAGCTGTTCTCTCCGGCAGGAAGGCGCCCGCGCTCCCTGGGAGCCGGGCGACGTCGCCGCCGCCACTGCTGCTCTGCAGTCTGGCAGACGACTGAATTCGGCGCACTGGACCGAGATCAGATCAGCCTTTCTGTGGCTCTTGATCCGGAGCGGGAGAGGCCGCGAGGTCGAGTGAGTGGGGCGGGCGGGCTGGCTTAATGGCCCTTCGCGCCGGCGGCAGGAAGGGAGAGGGAGAGCGAGAGCGCGGGGAGCGCTGAACGCGTTTGATAGGGGGCTTGCCTCGCTGAGCGGGCCTTCGGGAAGACTTGTTCGGGGCGCTCCCGAGGGGCTGCTCCTTCCGCCCTTTCAGCTTCGTAGAGTGCAAAAGGAAGGCAGAGAAAAGGCAGAGTCGAATCTTAGGCAGGGATGCGTGCCCTGCCTGCGTTCGCCTGTCAGTTGTGCATCGCCGCTGAACGGCCTGCATGCCTCACCCGACCCCCGACCCCCCGCTTTCTGCACCAGGTCCGTTCTTTGCCAGCAAAAGCAGAATTCTGAACGCAGAACCAGAAGGATGTAGGTTTTGCACACTTTTGAATCAGTTAAGCCTAGCTGGAGCAAAGCTCTGTGCAGCACCGTGTGGATTCTCTTTCCACTACAGGCGTGCACACGGACACACGCACGTGCGTGGTTTGGGTGTTCCACCTACTAATTGGCACACTTCCAAGCTTTTCATTGCAACCAGAAACTTGCCATAACTGCAAACAAGAGCGACACACACTCAAAGGCAAGACTTTCAAGAAAGTTTATTGTTGGGTCCCAACCCACATTTCCATGATGGAGTAACTCCTGCAGTGTTAGTAGAAACTTGGGCAGATACAGCAAAGCATGGATTAGAAGGCCCTTAACCAGGTTTGTACTGGGTCATTGACTGATCCTAAAGAGCACGCTAACCTTCTGGTGGCTTTGGTCCAAGAAACTGGCTTTGTTTCCAAGGAGAACTGTCGCATTTGGTGCTTTGCACAGGACATATTTCAAGTCAGAGGAAAGGAAGCCCTTTGTCATACCAGGCAGAGTTAAAATATGGCCTGTAGTGATGCCCAAAGCTTAGATGACCATGAGGGTAGATTGGACAAATCAACAGAGGAGAAGGCCATCAGTGTGGTGCTGTGGTTAAGAAGACAGGACTGGGGCTCAGGTGCCCTGGGTTCTGGCCCCTGCTCGGCCATGGAGCCAACTGGAGTTTGGACCAGTCGCAGACTCAGCCCAACCAACCTCACAGGGCTGTTGTTGTGGGGGAAAATTGAGCTCAAGAGGAGGAGAATAACATACACCACTTTGAGTTTGTAAGAAGAAAAGGATACAAATCTAATAAATAAATGTCAATGGCTAGCAATACTGATGTCAGTATTCCTTTGTCCACCAGTCACTGGGAAACGTGGATGGAATGCGTATAGGCATTTGGTTTCCCACCATGTCAGCAGGATGGTGCACTTGATGGACCCTTGGTCTGATCCAGCTATGTTCTTACATCCTTTAAAAACATTTATTTTTTCCCAGTTTTTTCTCCCTCTCTCCTCCAAATATTGAATCAAGAACAAAGAAAGAACTGAAATATCAACATGATAACAGAGAGCTAAATCCAACAGTGTCAGCCTCTCATTACAGAAAATCAAAGAATATAAACAGTAGCTTTGGGATTTTTAAATGTTTTGCATTTCAAGGTTAAGGAATCACTGCTGTGGAAATGTGTAAGTTTTGCAAAAGGAATCCAGCTAAGTAGCTTTGTTTTTTGTTTCCTGGGGGAAAGTTTTGCACGAAATGTGCACTTTTTTCTCCTGTTCAAGAATTTCAGGCTTTGTCAAAGCCCTACAAAGATGGATTTTGTTTGGATTTGTTGCAAGTACAAATCTGGCCACTGTTAAGAGAAAAAAAGTTGAATCACTTCTACGGTATGGGATGGAATGATCGCTGTTGTAAAATAAGATAACCAGCATTGAATTCACTTGCTCAAAATACAAGGGAACTCCCATTGCAGATATAAGGAATACATACCCTGAACTGCATAACCCCTCTAAATGCATATAGATAGACTGAAAAATCCAAACAAGCCCTGAGTAGCTTGTATTCATAAGGTCATACTCCACCTGTTCAGAATGTTGCCAGATATAAAGAAGACAGGTTGTTTCCCCATATATGCCATTACTGTATGGTTCTTATGGGTCTCTTTTCATAGAGGTCCTTTTGACTGACCAATTCTGTATTTTACCTATATAAACTGTTAGTAACTCTCTTGCCTGGTATTTTATCCCAGATTGCCAGTCTAGACCTGCCTTTCCTCTTCTTCATTTTTCCTTTGAATCGTTCTCAACCTCCACCTGTTCCATGAAGCTTTTGAATTAACCATCTGGCCTACATGATCTGGGTATTCATTAAGATGAACACAACCCTCCAGTTATATATGGTGGCCCCTTCAGGATCTTTAGAAGCTGCCTGTTCTTATAGAAGTTACAGAATCCAGTTTTTACAGATTGCAGAATCCCACCCTTTCTTCACACATATTTTTCTTAAAATGCACCTTTTCCTGAGCCCTAGCCAACTACAAACAAACAGCGTGTGCATGTGTATTTACAGATGAAGCCTCTTCATACTTGGTATGAGGCCAGAGCAATCGGTCCAGGACCTATCGCGTGGGTGCAAAATGCTGCAGCTGGTGCAAATACTGTTTTTTTTTCATACAGGCAGGCATGAAGCTGCTGGTTCAGGCACTCTGTGAGGAGTCACTTCCAAACAGTGAGATCGGCATCGGGCTTCTACTTTGACAATAAGATGCCAAGTTCCAGGCTCAAGGGGAATTCTTTGGGGGAAAAGATAATTTGGTACCAGGCAGGAAACTGAAAACAGCTTCCCTTGAAGGCAATAAAGTAACATGCCGTAGGTGTGAAAAGATTCCCCTTGGGCATGGATAATCCAGCAGTGAGTGACAGGTTCATGAGAAGATTAAGCTTGGGAACAGTCAATCATCAAGAGTTTGGGCTCATGGGATTTCCCTTGTGTATCACTGGTGTTGCACTAAGCAGAAGGTGTGGGAGGCAATCGGAAACTGAAGAGCCATTTCGGGGAGATTTTCACTTTGGCAAAAACAATTTGGCACTGATATTCCACTGTGGGGAAGAACACAGAGAATGTGGCATTATCAAAGGATTATCCTCAGCCACAGAGAAACTGTTGACTTTTGATTAACACTGCAGGCTGATTGGAGGTTTCAGCCAGGCAAAGGCTGGCTAAGATGAAAAGCAATTTCTTGGGCACTTTCTTTAGCCCAGGAAAGGCACGCAGCCTCTGGCTGCTGCATGGGGAGGGTAAGAAAAGTTCAGCCACCCCTGCCACTTTCCCCCTCTTCCCAATTCCCCCTTCTAACCTGCAGGCCGGGCTGGCTGGGTGAGACCCTTCATGAGAAGTGGGCATTGGCAGGGCTTACGGTGCAGGCAGTGGGAACCAGGGCAGGGCACTCGGACCCTGAGCCCAAGACTGGGCAGAGTCCAGTAAAAGGACAAAGGTGTTGCCGAGAACAGTCCAGAGCCCAGTAAGGGGCCCAGAAGCACTGATGGGGCCAAGGAACAATGAAGCGTCAAATACCAGGAAGACAAGACCAAGGAAGGAACAGGAACACAAGGAAGTCTGGGTAAGTGCAGGTACCTGGGTGAGGTGAGGCTGGCAGGGCAGGGCCCAACAACACGGCAGATTCCAGGCAGCAAGAGTCCAAGCAGCACCAGGAGACACAAAGCACCACAGCAACTCGGGAGAACCTTGTTCCTTGTTCTTGTACAGCCCCAGGTCTCACTTGTGATGGTCAGAGAGGGGCCCTAGTCCTGCACTCACTGCTGAGTCGGTTCTGGCAGCCACAGAGCAGTTCAGGTCCTGATAGCAGAACAGGGACCCTAGAGACAACCTGCTCTTGCAAAGGGCTTCCCAGAGCAAGGCCTCTGGGCCAGGCAGGTTCCCCTCACAGGCTTCTGACCTGATGCCTTGCTTTAAGGGATGCTCAGGGCAAGGCACTGAGTGGGCGGCCATGC